GGGGGGGGGGGGTAACATAATGGAAATATGGAAAACTAAACGTTGTACCACAGAAATTGTCTTGCAAAATGTGAGAAGTTATCCATTGGGCTTCAAACAGCCATAAACATGCCCCAAGAGTAGAACTGTGCAATACACAACAAGGTTTACGAGCATTTCCTTGTAATGTGTACACAAGTATATAGATAACAATGTTCATGAGTATTAAGGTATATTTGTACAAGTCCTCCCATTGGAACCAGGTATGGTTGATTCATGAGATGGCTGGTAGAAATGTACAATGATACTTCAGTTTTAAATATCTGAGATGATAAGGTTTATTATCCAACTTCTTTGCTAAAAAAGACAACAGTTGTGGCGCATTAAATGTAAAAACTGCTGTTTTTTGTTTGTTTGTTTAATTTCACGAGATATTTGTAGCCCTTTTTGTCTTATTAATTTGCTCAGTTCCTTGTGAAGTTGGATAATAAAGAAAATTTTTGTGAAGCCATGGTTGAGGCTATGGTGATAACACCCTTTTTGTTACCAGTTTCAAATTACAACATAGTATTGTTGTTGTTATTATTATTATTATTATTATATTATTATTATTGCTCTTATTATAATTGTTGTTATAATTATTATTATTATTATAGTTATGATGATAATAATAATAATAATAATTATTATTGTTATTATTTCACTTCTCTCCAGTTGTCAGGTGTTCCACTGGGTAACATTGTTTGTGTCTCAGCAACTTCTCGTAGCTCAGAGACATGACACTTATTATTATTATTATTATTGCTACTACTACTATTACCTGGACTGAAAACTGTTGCTTGATAATGTAACATGGCTGTCTTTTGTAACCCTGGGCAGTCAATTATGTATTAAATCTTCAGTTCATTTGTCAGAAGGTAAAAGTAAATTCAGACATTGCATCTTGATAGGAAATATCCATCCTTGTTGTGGCTTTCGATAATTTACTTAAGTTTTTTGTTTTGTGTTAATGGATATTTTCTGTAGGCATGTGTTCTTGCAAGGTTAAATTACTGATTTCCTTCACATATTGTTAGGACTTCCAAGCTACTTTTTGCTCCTAAAAATTAAGCAAGTGATTAGTTTATTTTTAAGTGACTGTATGAAAAGTTTCTAAAGTTGTTTCGTGCTTTAATCATGACATGTAGAGCATGACATGTAGAGACTGACATCTAGCTGTTTATTTCAGGTTATTCTTGTTTCAGTGTGTCTTGCCTGTAATTAGAACTTTCTGTATTGGTGTTATGTTGTGTGTTATACTACTTTGCTGAAAGGCAGATATCTAGTATGTTTCTAAGATAGACAATTTTTTTTGTTTTGGTTAATGCTGAAATTTCACTCAGAGGTGTGTCCTCAAGGAAAATGTTAAGGTTTTTTTATACTGAAGACTGATTTTGATTTGAAGTCCCAATGATGCAACTATTTGATCTAAAAAAATCATTTCAATATTTTTTCTGCCTTTCATTCTAAACTCTCAATTCTTTCAGTGTTTAGTGATGTAATGGTTGTGACTAGTAATCCTTCACCCAAAACATTTCTGTGTTTAGAAACCATTGTTTGCATTTCAGCATAATGCTTAACTTGCTTTGGGTAATTAAACAGCAGATTTGAAGCAGACATTGCCTGTAAGGGTTTCTTGATGGAGACAAATAGTACAGGCAGACAGTTTAACTTCCTTCAAGTCTTTTTTGACTAGTTTATAACTCTGTTCCTTCTCTAAAGGAACCTGGAGGTTAAAATGTATGACGACTTTATGATGTCCATTAGATAAGTCAGTGCTAAGGTAATTCAAATTGGATGCCATTGTGCCCAATTAAAATATTAACGTTTTGGAAATAATGCAAGAAATTGTAGGACTTCTGCAGGATGAAAATTTTGATTTAATTTAGACTAATTTTTAAACAACCTGTAATATTAATTTTATGGCATCAATAAAGTCTGAGAAATCTATCTGCGTGTGATTGAGTGACCCAATGTTTCAGGTAGTGTGTCATTTTTTCCCTTGACCCATAGCCTCCACTGTTTATTTCCAGCTCTGTCAAGGGCCATTTTGAACCAAATCTACACTTGAAGCACTAAGCTGAATGGAGGGGGCTCGATTCCACCAGTCAAGTAAGCATGAATGGCTGGGTTATGAAAATGGTTCTGTCTTTGTGCTTATTGTCTAATTACTTTGTGCTTACTGTCTAATTTTCACAATTCACCGTGGAGGGGAAATTACCTTTATCACTTATCTGTGTTTCTCCTTGGAGTTATGAAATTCTGTGCAAGTTAAGATGGACCTGTCCCTTAATGTTATTTTTTTAGAATTTAAGTATCAAGAAATAATTTATTTCCTGGACAGTTAGAAAGAGGAAAAATGGAAGTAAAACGAGAAATGGAGAGGGACAGGGTGACAAAGTGAGAAAGATAGGCAAAGAGAATTCAAGGTAAGGAGCCATGGAAAGAGAGAGAGAGAAAAGGGGGAAAGAGTGATAAAGGGAGAGCAAATAAAATTGGGGAAGAGCGATTGAAAAAGAAGAGAATTAGAGGAAGAGAAATTTAGTTACCGTTTAGTTCTTGATGGACAAATCATTGGAAATCTCACGTCACTAGAATTTGATCAGTCAAGGACATATCTGGCATCAATTTTGATGCGTTGAAACCATCGGTAATCATTTAGAGCTCTCCTAAAAAATGCCCGTGTTAGCGTTGGTCAATTTGAGAGTAGGTAAACACCAAAAGGCAAGACACGGATTCCTCGCTATTTTCTTCATAAACTGAATAGTTTATTCTTTACCTAAGAATTTTACATGACTTACACATAATCATTGTCTACAACAGCACTGGAAAAATTACCCAGCGCGCAATTTTTACAAAATAAAAGTTCAACAAAAGCCAATCTGTTTGCTTTAACGGAACGGCTTAGGCCGTCCAATTTTCCCAAAATGCATTTGTTCCTCAGAAATCTGCACGCTAGACGAGTTCCACGCGAGGCTCGTGCAACATCATTTAAAATGTTCTAAACTCCATTACAAGCAATTGATGACGTAGAAGCGCTACTGTTTCTTAAGGCTGACATGTTTCTAGTTGGATGCCCCAAAGCCACAGTCAAACATCACCTTCCGGTGAGACTTTTCTTGAAAGATTTCACCAAATTCATCTCTAACTACTTGAGCAGGTCAAACATACAGGCTTTCTCCTCAGTTGTTGTGACCACGTCATAATCAAGTCATGTAATATGCTGCATGACACTTCATCCAAATGGCGTGACGCCATTTCACGTACTTCTGCTTCTTTCCTTTTTTCCCACATTACAGAATAGAACCGTTTTATTACGTCAATAGAGGTTTTGCACAGCAGCCATGTTGGATGGCAGGAACAATAGATTATTTTACCCATGGGAAAAAATATTCTTTCTTATGCAAAATATTTTCATTGTTCCTGCCATCCAACATGGCTGCTGTGCAAAACCTCCATAATAATACGATACCTTACGTTTTCAAAAATTTCCTCAAAACTTTCTGAGAACTTAAAACCATGACTGAAAAGAAAAAAACGTGTATGGGAACGGCAGCTGTCCACAGGCAGACAAATCCATTTTAACGCGAGCTTGTTCATGTCCAAGGAATTATAGAGAGTAAGTTAAACCTTTGAGTTACAGTAGCAGCTTGTTTGCGTTCCGAGTAGCGTCTGATTGTTAGGTCTGAGTTCGATTGGTGATAATCCTTCTTACGCAACGTAAACGTAGACTTTCCTGTTAGAAAAACCAGGAAGGAATGCATTATTTTGAGGTTTCCGCCACCGCCGCAAAAGATCACACTAAATTTTCTTAAGTGGCCACATAAAGACCTTTAGTTTAAAAGGAGGAAGGCAATTCGTATTGGGCAAATAACTCTAAAATGCACCCCTCCCCTAACCTTGAGAGTTAAACGTTGTAAACAGCTTAAGGCCACAAACGCAAAACTGTGTTCTAATCCTCTCTACTGCGAGGATCGTGCATCATACGTATGTGTTCTAATTACAAGTACAACCCAAAGCCATAGGACACGGATTAAGGCATTACGCCTTCTTCTGTCCTTCTGTAGGATCTCGTTTTGATTTTAACTGTTTTGCTAACTTGTAGTTTAATTTAGGAGTACTACGACGAATACTATAGGTTGATGTCACTAACCTGTCCTCAGGGGTCCTGGCTAAGTATTCCCTTTCAATCAAACCTTCAATTCTCTTCTTAATAACTTGTGGACTGGGCATGAATCGAGCTTTGAGCTGTTCTGTTACCTACTCACAATAAACACAAACATGAGTTCACAGGAATTCTATAAAGTCAGGGGGAAATCTTATCCATTACTATAAAAAAGGCCTCGTATTACAAACCTCTGCTACAAGGAGATTATGCGGTCTCTTCTTCCGTGCCTTCATTATTCGAACAATAGCTGCTTCAATTCTGTTGCTAATTAAGGAAATAAACTCTGCATATCATTGCTAAGAATACTACAAGATCTAACAGATTTGTGGTCTTCGTCAAGCGCGGAATCATTTGAAAACGCAGAAGTATGCGTTCGATCCAAGCGCAACTCCGTAAATACGCACAATACTAGGGTGTTAATAGTGACATAGTTTAAGCAGCGATTCATCTAACTGCGCGTTCCAAATCGGGGGGTGTTTTCTAAGAGCACCCTTCTCCCCACAAATGATATTCTGTCCGAGCACTGGATTGAGGGATTTGTTAGTCCACTGGCTACCGATTTTTTTCTAAGGGGGGGAGGGTGGTGTCAAAAATTATTGAGGCTACCTAGATGGAGGTTTTGAAAAACGTATCTCTGACGTTATTTTCTGCAGGAAAGAAAGTCTACTTAAAAACAGAGAAAACAGCGCGCGCACAGAAGAAAAATATCGCCTTCTGTAACACAAGCTCATCCGGCTTTGCCAAACCTCAAGACCATGCAGATGGGAAAATGACATCTTGAAACTAACCCTTATTAAATATTATCACATCGTAAAGGAGAGTCATTAACAGATATCCTAATACGAGCTTAACTTTGAGGGCAGAAGATTTAAAAGCGCTAGCAAATGCCAGGAGTCGCACAAGCCTATCAACAACTCTTCTGCTTTCCGGCCTCCCGGCGTGTTACTTCACGCAAGATCAAGTGACTCCTTTCATTGCTCTGTTCCAACTGTCCTTCATTCAGTGATCCAGATAGTAGATTTACGATACAATATTCGCTATTAGTTAATTTCCCTTTACTTAAGAAAGTGAATTTACAACACGATTGAGTACACACAGGAAATGTCCTTGCAGTAGTAACGCTATGTAACGCAATACAATAAACACAAAAAACGTGGCGCAGTGCACTCTGATTAAATGCAATGCATTCTGGAAAAAAGTGATGCACTCTGGTAAAAAGTGATGAATTCGAGAATTCGCACCCCCATTATATTCTTCTTAATCCTGAATATGTTGCAGCTGGCTCGCTGCGCAGTAACAAAGACAGAATACAAAGAGCTGATCTTAACCCTTAACACCCAACCATCGGTATGATATTTTATTACACGACGCGGGCAGTCAGAGGGCCAATAACTAAAATCAACCAATCAAAATGTTTTATTGCCGGTCAATATTCTCTCAGTATTGGACCGGGCACTGTCCCGAATGGTCCTGAATGACACCGCATCTGCGTCCCTTTGAACTTCAGTTGTATAATAAATCTCTTATTAACTAAGCTTGCTCGGGACCGTACTGGAAGAATATCGGCCTTCGGTCTTTTTTGTACGGACCTCGCTGTGCTCGGTCCGTACTGTCAAGACCTCGGGCCGATATTCTCCCGGTACGGCCCTCGCGCTTGGTTAATAAGATATATATCCACCCTGTCCTCTTGACATTTCCCCTGGTACTGTTACGGAAGATTTGTTTAACCAACAATTCTTTGGTTGGCGATCATATCCTATATTCTCATGACCTTGATGATTGATTCAGCTGTAATTTTTAAAGAGATTAGGGGTTAGGCGGTTAAAGGATACTCATGTTTTCTGTCTTCATCCACTTTATTTCTGGTTTCTTTTCTTTCGGGTTCCATTTCACCTTTGGCGAGAACTGCACAAAGAGAAAAAGAAAAGCTCGACAACGGTTTCTTTGTAAGGAAAAGAAGAGGGTTCAGGAGAGGTCACTGAACTGTACCTGTCTGTATCTTTACTCTGTGTAATTTGGACGTAAATTGTTCATTCACTGAGAACATATCCGTTGGTGCTGGAAAGAACAACATGACCACTCATCAATCATCATCACAACAGAGTTGATGTTCACAGCTAAACTGCAGCTGTATTCATCAAAGACAATAAGGCCACGAAAAAATAAAATAAAATAAATAAGTAAAATAAGAACCGGTAACAGACGGACAAACAACGAACAAAAAAACCAACATTCAGCTTCCTAGCTCAGTTAGTACCAGAGGATCCCAATGGGGTGATGGCTTTTACGGCTTAAGGTCAATTTCTTTCCATTTCACTTAAAATTTCTTACGTTAAATTTTTTTCATCGACTAAAGGTTAAAATTTGTCAATTATCACGCCTCAAGGCTAATATTTTTCTGCCATTTTTTACGACTTATGGTTGACGGTGGTCGTAGCACCTCAGGTCTGGTATTTAGGAGTAGAAGCGTGAAGCGTTCCGCCGGCTCTACAACTCTTCTACTCACATATGTCTCTTCCTTTGGGATCTTTAGTTAGAACCCGCTGTGTCGCTTTCCCACACGCTAATGACTGCAACGCTCGGTTTAAATCTCTTTCTGGAATTTCTGTATGCTGACTTATTTCCTACGACGAAAAAAGACAAACTTGTGCACATGTGATAATAATTAGGGACGGCACTAGAGAACTGGACGCGGCTGTTTGTACTGCTTTGTCACCCCATGCTCCCTTCACAAGCTCCTGTCTACTAATAGAACTGCTGATTGACGCTCTGACGAAGGGCTAACGGTCGAAACGCCAGCTTTCAAACTTTTTACGGTGGCCAATTTACATTATCACCTTAGTTGATAAAACCAAATGATCTTGTTATACTCCCCCACCGACACAGCTCCACAGTTTCTTTAGAAACTTACCCTATTCATTTGCTGATGGAGAAACTTCCTTATATGTCATGTATACCCACCTCATATGTCCACCGTTCTTGAATGTTGAAAAGCATTAGCAGACACATTTGATACGAGGAGACCTGGAAAATGTGTCGACGTGTCTCCGTGGGACCACCCTCCTAATAGTAAATTAAGGCATATTACTCAGAGAATCTTTCGAAAATGTAGGTAAAATGATGGTAAGCCAGATCAATTGTATAGCATATATAAAAAGACACAGATAACTTAACGCGCGGTAGAAACATGGTAAGTTACAAACCGCAATTTAAACAAAAACTGAAGTAAAACACATTGAAAACAAAGTAACTGCGCTGAAATCAGTTTGAAGAACAATAATCTCCTAACATCAACGTTAAAAGATCAATATATTTTTCAAAATCACTGGTCTTCAAAACGAGATACTCACTTTCTTGGATGGTGGAAATGTCGCATTCAACTCAGCCGTTCCCTGTTAACAAGAAACATCTCGCATCACATCGTATCACTACCAACACATGTCAACTTAAAGTGCACCTAAACCCAAAAATWTTTTTTCGCTTAACGAAATAAGCTTATTTTTTGGAGTATTTCTGTGCAAAAATTTTTTAATTTGCTCAAATCTTTAATTTTCTGTGCCCAGTCAAAATACGGAAAATCGGCCGCCATCTTGCCTCACGGCCGAGTTTAAAGAGGAATGGCTCTAGCGGGTAATGTGACGTCAAATCGAGAGCACGAAAGTCTGCATTTCACACATTTTCACTTGTTTGGGAAGGTTGTCGTCGATATTGTCCGAAATATGCCGACTAGGTGTGTTGTATGAGGAATGTATGAAGCGCGATACCCTCTTGCAAATTTCGCACGTTGCTACATCCTCCTACAACACACTTAGTCGGCATATTTTCGGACAATATCGACTACAACCTTCCCAAACTGAAGTGAAAATGTGTGAAATGCAGACTTTTGTGTTCTCGATTTGACGTCACATTACTCGCTAGAGCAATTCCTCTTTAAACTCGGTCGTGGGGCAAGATGGCGGCCGATTTTTCGTATTTTGACTGGGCACAGAAAATTGAACATTTGAGCAAATAAAAAATTTTTTGCACAGAAATACTCCAAAAAAAAAAATACACTTATTTCGTTAAGCGGAAAAAAATTTTGGGGTTAAGGTGCACTTTAAGGCTGTTAAAAAGGTACCATTCCTTACTCATAGCGATCTTGAACTCAACAATAGGCCATTTTACAGTTGTGTACTTAGTTGCCAAGCCTTTGATTCAGAGTGAGGCTAAAGATGACCTTGTTGTGATAGAGACCTGTATCTACTTAGCATGATAACGAAGTGATTTACATTTGAAAGGCAGCAAGGTTTGTATCATAACAAGGTCATCTCTAGCCTCACTCCCATTCAAAGGCTTGGCAACCAAGCACACAACTGTAAAATGGACTATTCTTGCTCTTACTAATTCACCAATTACCTCAGGAAAAAATTCCGAGCCAAAGAACAATGTTCTTACAGTCTACTCCATGTAAATTTCCTTCAACTTTAAACACCTTGACACCTATTTACTTTACTCTTATCATATCTGAGTCTTCTCATCTCAGCAAACCAACATCCCGTATTGCCCTAACACCAAAGTAGTTTTCCACGCCTTAGTTAAAAAAAGGAAAAAAAAAAAAAAAAAAAACCACCAAAAACCGGGTGGCTTGGTTCCTTGAAAAGAGCACTTATTTAATAAGATTTTTTTTATTGTTTTTAATAGAAGACACTGATGAGCTTCACTTCACTGGATAAGGACCTATTATCTATGGTGATAAAACAGTTGTTACCAGCTGTGGTTGAAGAGTCAGCTGTCTTCCACTGTGATTCCCTAAATAGAACCTGTATAGTAAAACACACAAGGGGTACATGAATTAACATTCACTGCCAATGGTCTTCGATTTTAGTGCAACTCTGACTTCAGTTTGTCATTTCTCTCACCTTTTAAAGCAGTCAAAGGCATTCTGGGCCTGGGGAGGAATTGTACATTTTGGTGAGGAGGACTGTGTCGGCCAGAACCCTGTTGTGAGGACTCGCACCACAAGGTCCACACCCATCAGATTGATCTAAAAGATAACCAAAATACATCCAACTTATAATTTACAACACAAGTTCCATTGTAGAGATAACTTCAACCATCATGTCGTCATCGTCGTCACTCTCATTATCAACTTCATTAGGATCATCACTACTGTTACAATTGTAATTCTTGTTATGACTTGTTTTCACAAAAAAGGGAAGTATTCTATTATTTACCTGATTGTTGGAAATGTGATTTCTAAATTCCTCATTGGTTGAATGTGACAGTGTCATGTCTTTAAACATGCCCTCCAGCTTGGATGTAAATTGACAACCACACTCGGTCTGAAAAGAAAGATACATATGCTGTTTCATTCAGCGTTTACAGAAACTGGAGTATTGATTATCGATGCATCACTGTAACTGTCAAGTTTATACAGCACTTCTTGACTATTGACTAACCTTCAGCTTCGAAATCATGTTTTTCTCTGAGTCATCTGAAATGCTCTTTCCGAGAAGAAGTCTTTTGGCCAAATGTTGCTTGTAATACCGTTCAAAAACATCCTAAAGAAACAATTCCTTGTTATGTGATAGCCTTTCCACTGGAATCTTCAAAATTATTTAACAAACAATAACTATACAAAAAAGGCTTTAAGGTTGTCAAGTCAACTTTGTTCTAATGTTTTGATTGAGATAAGTCACCATCCAATAACCTTTTATCAAGAAGGGTCTGGAATTGAGTCGAGTTTAAGATGCTCACCTAAATTTCTGCATTGAAAGAAAGCAAGATTGCAGTACTTGAGGACTAAGTTCTGTTACCTTTTCTTGAAGAAATCTGAACAACACCATGCACTTGTCCAACACTGTTTCCACTTCTTGTTCAGAAAGCTGAAATAAGTTAATGAGAAGCCCATTGAATAGAATTGGAAGTTTACTTTAAGTCTCAGTTTTATGAATACGACAAACAACCTATATCTAAATGTAGTACAGAATATAGCTGCTTTGGACCAGAAAAAAACATGGAAGGCATTTGAAAGTGATAACAAAGTAATGAAATGAATTTATAACATAACCAAAGTAAAGCGCGCGCTCTGATTGGTCAATTTAGCGTTCCCCATTTGCCCATGGGTGTACGCTGCTGACGTGAGCAAATGCAAAGACTATTTTTCCGCGTGCGCTTGTTTTTTCTGGTCGCGTAAGATTTGTTAAATAAATGGGAACTCTTTAGCTACAATGTATCAATGTTATGTTATAAAACAAATGGTAAACACCACAGCGTACACTATTGAGTTATGGATGCACTTGGGAGGTTTGCTAAGCACGAAAGAAGCGTAAGAGTCGCTCTCGGCTATCGCCTCGAGCGACTCTTACGCTTCTTTCGTGCTTAGCAACCTCCCGAGTGCATCCATAACTCAATAGTGTACGCTGTGGTGTTTACCATTTGTTAAAAAACTTACCCCCTTCACTCCTTTCTTCAGCTTGTCATCAATAAAGAGTGACAAAAACTCAGGTGATTTTCCATTGAGATTGAGGAAGTGTTCAAATTCCTACAAATGAGAAAGAAGAGGATGTTGTAGTAGTTGTATTTTTTCGGTGGTTGCAAGTATTACGTAGTGCTCAGCATTCACACTCCAAACCAAGCTCACAAATAAACTGATAGCTTCTAAACTTACAGAAGATATGGCTTGCTTGAATAATTTGTCATTATTGAATGAATTGTTCAGGAAATGGTCAAATCTGTCTTTTAACTCAAGTAGGCTCTGAAATATTAAAAAATAAAACAAAAACAAAACAAAGCAAAAGCAAAGAAAAGAGATGTGAGTGGAGCCAATGACAAGATAGTATTAAATATTTTCCTGTCAATAACAAGTCATGACAAGATAGCTGGGGGATGAGGTTTTCTCACAAGCATGATAAAAAAACTCTTTAATTTACTTCTTTTAAAGTCAGACTTATTTACCTTAATTCTATTTAACATTTTTTGTGTTGGTGATAGTTGTGAACATTGTGCATTTTCTCTACAGAAGTTAGACAATCACTGTTGTTAATACCGGACAAAGAAATTATCTGCCAGAAGGACTCAAGCCTCAGAATATCCTGTTTTACTGTTGGATGCTCAACCAACTGAGCTACAGAGAACTCAACAGTGGGCACAGTGTGGGCCATATACAAGGTTCAAGCTTCAAGCATCCAGCATACTGCTAAGATCAGCAACAAGAGCTCGTGGAGATAGATAATGTGCCTTTACACTGAATGCAAATATGGCATCCAATTTCAATTGCCATGGTTCTGGACTCGCTAGCCTCATCTTCACATGGAAACACAAAAGGATTATCACATGTGTGAGAAGTTAGTGAGTTCTGAACAATAGCAATTCAAATTGGATGCCGCATTTGCATTCAGTGTATAGCAACTGACTGCTCCTTTTTGAAACTTGCTGAGATGTTAAAGAAAACCCCTCCTTAACAGCATCACATAGCTGGCACTAATTCATTCATAAACTCAATATGTTCCCAATGAATCTTGTACCTGAATGTATGCCATGGGATTTTTACCACTTTCCCCTTCTTCTTCAACAACAAGAGCTTTGCCTTGTTCCCGCAAATATCCCCTCATGCAATCACACACAGTCTTCAACCCTTCCTTAACTCTCACAAACAGGCGGTACATCCTTGCCAGGTCTGAAATATAAACAATAATATATTCCATTACCATACTTTATATGTGAGGTATCTTGTTAGCCTTTCTGACTCAGAAAAAAAAAAAAACCTGCCAGCAGTGTATCATCAGAAGAGCAAACATGACAAAAATGAGTAGAAAATTACATGAGCCAGATTTGAGATTGGGAATCTTAATAATATTTAGTTTTCAAGTTTGTCACCTTCAGTCAGTGCTCATCTCCCTAATCTTCTCCTATCCATTTTCCATTCAAAAGAAATGTTGTAGTGTTTGTGTATGATAGCAAATCATTGCTCAAAGGCTCTCTATTGCTTTAAGGAAACTCTCCATGCTGCTATCATGAGAAAATTGCCATAGTATATAGCACACAAACCTTCTATTTTGTTGTGTTTTAGCATATGGATAACACCAGAGTTCTCCATTTCCACTACTGTTTTCATGTGCTTGCGTATTAGCTCCTCCTCCACAACCTGTTGGAAAATAATCATTTTCCAAACAAACAAATAAACCAAATTACATCCAAAAGGGAAAAGATACCAATTCCCATATTCCCAAAGAGTATATAGTTGTTTCTTTCTAAAATGTATCATTGGAGGGGCTACTCGAAAAAAGGGCCCCCAAGTGACTTTTAAGGTGACACCTACTTCCACTGCTGTTTTATAAGAGAAGACTAGACAACCTGCAAGGAGAGTCAAGCAGTTCATTAAAAATCACTTAAGCTTTCTCCCATACACCCCTTGTTTTCATTTCTATGATCAAAACTCGACATGCTTCACTACCTTAACAATAGGTTCTTCTGTAGTAGGATCCAAGTAATGTTTGGCCCGTTCTGATTCTTCATTAATTCTGGTTTCAACCTGATAAAGGAGCCCTAAAGTCAGTCACCACTCAACAAAATCATTGCAACAAAGACGTGATCCAATGTAATAACTAATAATAATGGATCCATCAAAGGGACACACCTTCTGAATATAAACAGATGCACTGTTTTCTGCTAGGAACTTTTGACCTTCCAACTGTTGGGGAGAGATCAACCAAAAATGCAATAAATGCATGAATAGCACCTACATTATGCAATCTCAAAGTTGGTTTTGATATGAATTTTAAAATCAAAGGTAAGAAGTAACAGTCCACATTTCAGAATATTCCATGAATCACTTCCTATGATAACAAGAAGACAGAGGCAAAGCTGAGTAAGTCTACTGCATGAATGCTCACAAACTCAGGTACTGCTAGAAAGTTTATACCTTGTAGAATTCTGCAGACTCTTCAAGGAATGGCTTCTCAAAATCCTCCTCATACACACTTCTTGTGTCAATACCCAGGATCATCAACATCTGACAAGCATTTCTAATGGCCATCCTAGCCAATGAAACAGGGTAAAACAAGATAAGTGATAATTTCAAAAAAGAGCAAAACAAAAAGTTAAGTGGTGAAACAATGACAACAAATAATGTAAACGGTTTGACAAGAGAAGGATTAGTCCACAACTCCCTGGGGCATCCAATGCATAAAACTTAGACGTTTTGTTGTGTAATATCGCTGAGTATTTTTATGAACCCATAAGATGAGTCAAAATAAAAACAATGAGTAAAAACACTCTGCAATATACTACACAACAAAACATCTAATAAGAGACTTGTTATCCAACACACCAGATTGTTATTTCAGTGCATGTGAATTTCACGGATATTTCTGGAGTACAAATAAGGCATGACATTTGTACCTGTCTTGCGCGTTATTTGTATTCTACGAAGCATGGTTGGATAATAAATAATAGTATTTAATATCTTCTGACAGTTACAAGTATTATCATTCAAAATTGTCTATCTACCTGTCAACAACTTCTCCTTTCCTTTCCCTTCTGACCAGTGTGAGTAACGTTTGACACAAATGATCTCTGATATTTCCATACCTCACCACCTTAAAAAAAAAAAGGTAAAAAAAAGGTAGTTTAAGATGGATAATAGCTACAAGAAACCGTGGTAAACAAACTGTTAGTTCATTGTCAATGTGATGTTGATACAAACAAATTTACCACGCAGGTAAATTCTGAAAATTAGATGTTAATGATAAACTACTTAATGACTAAATGATCTGGCAATCAACTGGCAGTATTCACAAAAAGAACTGTTAAATGTTATTTACATTGACATGCCTCAAAAGAATGACTTAAAGTAGAATGTAATAATTACCTTGCCTTTGTAAACTGACAAATTTAACTACCCAACACAGAAACTCACCAAGTCACGGAAAAGGATCAATCCTAAGTTGTAGACGTTATCAACACCATTTTGTTGAACATAGACTCTATCCTGTGGAAGTAATCATAGAGTTGAAAAAAATTGTTTGAGAAAGCACTAAAACTTCCAGCCAGACATTTGTGTGTTCCACAAAAGTGTGAAAAAAATTGTTGAAGGTAAAACATTTTGGGAGCAAATTTATAAAGAAAATCATATGGCTTTAACATTTACGCATTGGCTATCAGTGGTACTTAACTAATCAGTTATTTAATATAGAATAAAGCCAACAAAAGTAAAGCCAGAGTGGCCAAATGTTGAGACTGTAATCCCTTAGGTTGAAGTCCTTCATGTTACCACTCACAGGATTTGTGCTTGGCTGCCTGCAGTTCACCTCCTTAAATGATACCTGTGAACAACCAACTGCTCTGCTCCCTTTTACTTTAATCATGCCATGTTTACTAAGAAAATCTGTTTCATCATTTGTTTAGGTTGATCCTAGAAAGTCTCATAGAGAGACTTGCTACTGTTTTAAGGAACACTCATCACAAGCTGTTGTCATAAAATACAAAGACATCATGTGGGTTGACATACCATGTACATGAGAATATCTCTAATCATCACCATAGAAGTCTGATGGTCATTCCAAGCTGCATTCAATGTGTCCAGAAAATTGTTGTTGAGTGAAACCACAACATCCTTACGTATCTTAAAGTAATAGGATAAAACAGAGAAAGGTAAGTGAGAAACACGAGTTCTGTGTAACATTGACTGGTAGTGTTTTTAAACTTGCTTAAATTAAGTACATTAGCCAGGTAGTTAAAAACCCCAAATACCATCCATTCCCCAACACCATGAAACAACTAAGGGCCAATTATTTAAACAAAGTTTGGCTCTTGTTTAACAAAACTGCATGCTAAGCCATCTTCAATTTAGCTGAACCTATTAATCTAAACATTTATTTTTGCAAACAGTGTCAAGAGGGCTGAAAGCTAATAACAGAAGGAGATTTATTTAACTACATCAAATCTTTAATATAAATTTCCTAAGGCCCACTGCATTCATAAAACCACAACAAGGGTTAGACCTGGTGTAAATAACTAGCCCTGAGTCTTTCGAACCCCCTATAAAGTACTCTTCTTTATACTCCTTTTTAAAGCCCCCATTTTCTATCAAGTTCCCTCAACAGTTTGGCAAAACCAATTAGTAAACCTAAGTGAGGTACTGACTGATATACTTGTCAATAGTTTGGAAAAATACCAAATAAGAACCCAACACAGTAAACTATGACCAGAGAAAGTGCATGTTTAATACCTTTTCAACCAGATGCTCTGTCACAACTTGTTTGAGTCCAGAGTATAACCGCTCTCCATGTTTGTGCAAGACCATAGTATAAGCATTCCTGTTCAATAAATCAAGGCTACCTTTTAACATACAAACTCAAAAACACTTTCCCATGTATAAAGAGATATTAACCTCTTTTCACTCCCAAAAATCTTAATACATACTCTTTACTGGGTCATTAACTTTATTTTCAATTGATGAGATTGCAAAGGCTGTTGGATAAATTAATTAAGAACTGGAATTCAAATTGGTATTTCAAACTCAGAAAGTTTGAAATAAGAAATAAAAAATCTTAACTATATTTCCTTCACTGTAATAATTATTTGTCTACCAATTGTCAAAACATTAACAATAGAAAAGAAATTTTTGCACTGCATCCATGGCATTTTTGTTGACTGCATCTTTAAACATAACTTATGTTAGGCAGATTCTCTACAAAGGATATTCGGCCTAATTAGAAGAGACTGAAAAAACAGAAATAAGTTAACCATTGAATAGAAAAATATCACCTATAGAGTTCCTCAAAACTAAGGCCACTATTGTTTTTTTTCTGAATTTCTTGGATCGCATTCTTCAGCAAGTTCCAGATGTCTTCGACATACTTGTCATCCATAGTCATCTATATAAAGAGAGAAAGGGGAAAAAAATCTGTGTCAAGACAATCCCAAAGCTAGGATAGAAATTGAATTAATCTGTGTCAAGACAAAGGTTTTCTTGAATAATATATTTTTGAGACATTTCAGTCTTATAAGTTTCCTTTGATGAAAAAAGAAAAACAAGTTATTCTTTTTCAATCTTGTTTCCAATAAGAAAGCAAGTCTAGGTGATTACTGTGAAATAGAAAACTACAACTCCTTTACCTAAAAGTTTGTATGGTAAAAAAGGGAGATAAGTGTGGTTAGAGAAATTAAAAAATATCACCAATCCATCATGCTATGTTTTAGAGAAAGTAGGTGCTATAAAGAATATCCACACTTTCTCATATCAATACAAGAATTACCAAAGAGAAGACCAAAATTCAAGAAGAAACTCACAAATACACTTTAAACAATAATTAATCATTGTCTTAGAGATTATTTTACACATTGTGAGTTGGAGGGTAAAAAATACAGCAATGTGGAGAAAGATCTATTGTAAACATTACTTCTACCTCCAGACGTGACCAACACGTAAATTAACTTCACAACTTCAATAATTTGTCATGCTTAGTTCTTATTAACAGAGCGGAAGGTCTGTACGGGAGAATCTTGACCAAGGTCGCCAGTACAGACCAAACACAGTGAGGTCTGTACCAGCGACCGAGGTAAAGGTTCTCCCATACAGACCAACCTAGCTCAGTTAATAAGATGTTTATTATATGGCTGTGTCTTATAAGCCAATTTTTTATATTCTTTGTACCTTTTTTCCATCTAGACCGGTCTAGATGGGAAAATCTAGACCGCTTTCAATATTGATTTCAGCCAATCAAATTCGTGAATTTGGTAGTTCCCAGTCCTTGTGAGACACAGCCATATAATGAAGAACGGTAATAAAAACAAATCAATTAGGAGATGTTTGATTTAACTCTAAAATTTTGGTGCTCGAATTAAAAGTAAAATGTGTAAAAGGAAAATCAATTAATAAAAGGGGAAATGGAAAAAAAGGAAAATCAATGAATAGGTAGTCTAAAAATATCTATATAAATTATACACAAAAATCAAATTACCAAAAACTGAAATCTAAAAATAGAATTGTTTCTCAAAATAACTTAGAGAAAATAAAAACAGAAAAAATTTGAAATCACTGGATCTGCACTTGAAACATCAGCTTGTTTCCCTATTTGATTTTAAAGATGGTACTAATGAAAAAAATCATCTAATAGACTTGAGAAAGTTAGGTAAGGTATGTCAATTTCTGTAAACCAATTAAACTTAATGCTCAAGAATACACTACAGAGGGAAAAAACAGTAGAATTATAACATGATTACTGACTATAAAATAGGCTATGGTTCATCATCCTGGTAAATAACACTTCCAAAAGTAAAATTTGTCTTGCGATATTTTCAATTCAGTTATTTCTCTTTTGAGAGGATTAATAATTTACTTTAAATACATATGGACCATACTTAATAATAATCTACTCGATTGGTCTCACTGTAAAAAAAAATAGTTATTAGCATCATCACTTTTTGCTGACCATTTTACAATCTAACTCTGCCTGGTGTCTCAATTTTGATTGCAAACTGTTTGCACAAACTTGGGATCACACAAACCACTCAGGTATGATGCAGAGATATTGATAAAATTCCCTGCATCTATAAGAAAGACAGCTTTCGATTGAAATCCAACCCTCAGGTTTTCCTGGTGGAAGAACCTACAACAGGTTGGTTTAAAAAGTTGTAAATTAAATTTTGCTGTTCAACGATTGTATTTTCCTGTCTTTGCTTGCCAAAAATAGAAATAAAACTAAGAAAGCAAGCATGGTGCTCTAAGACTAAGTTGCATCAGAGATTGCATACAATAATAATAATAATAATAATAATAATAATAATAATAATTTAACATTTATATTGCACAAATTAACAAGTGGATATGATCAAATGTGCATCACAACACTTTTCGGGGTACTTTGGCTGGACTGCATCAGCAGTTTACAAACAGTCGAAGGAAACTTATTTGAAGACGCCCCCTCCTCCCCTATTCCCAGTGAACAGGCCAGACCACATCACAGTAATCTCATGAGTGTGTTCTCTAATGTCCCCTGCCTAACCAAGTTAACCAATTAACAGATGCAGGAGAGTAGGTAAACACACCAAAAGGCAAGACACGGATTCCTCGCTATTTTTCCTTTTGCTATTTTCATACAGATGTAGGTTGTAAATTTTACAGTATAAAATCTTACTATGCATAATGGGGTCAAAATGTAAGTGGAGTACACAAAAATCCCAACGCATAATTGGGCATCCAAATTTAACGTTAGGTTTGTGGCAGCAAACAAAATAATAAAAGCGAATAAGGAGACACAGCCTAAAAAATAAAGCACATGTACAAGCTTTGATTTCAAGACTGTGTAGCCTAAGGCATAATAGGTTGGGTTGATAACAGAGAACAAGGATGACAAAGGCGAATTATAAGAACTACGACCTAAAAAATGTAATACCCATACAAACTGTACTTCCGCAAGCTTAAATTTGAGGCAAAGTACGTGTCATCCAATTGCAAATTAACCCGCTTTCGCTCATAGAACTAAACAGTTCATCAAAACTGGGACAAGTGACTAATTCGAGACCAGATATTTTAGCTTGACTTCTCCAGAATTTAAGTTTGACTTGGGAGCAAATCGTATCACAAATCTCCAAATTCGGCCTGCTGGGCATAGGGCCACATTATCTTGGTTCTGCAATTCCCACTAAATGTAGATAAACATTTGAGGCAACATTGCCGATTGAAACAACGCTGAAATCTTGAACTACGGCATTTCTATCTCTGGTGAAGCTCTCACTTACCGGAAAAGCCCGAATCCTCATCTTTGTTGAATCTTTCTTCCCAGATCGTAGACTCATGTCGGAAACTGGCGACTCCCTATCGTACAAAACCTTTTCTTTCTTTGACCAAATTATCCAAAATATCGACGTTACTCGTTGATTTAGAAAATATAGTGTTCAAACATCGAAACGTAAAGCGTTAACGTATCATTTTCCCTTGCAATTTCATTATTCCCAACTCACTCAGAGGACATCCTCCATATTACTCTTTAGAAGGGAACTAGCCAGAGCCATAGATATAACCCACAATGCATTTAGAACAACGTCATGCATCTCTCCTGCGCTTGCGCTATCAGAGGCTTGGCAGCTAAGGAAAACAAGGCTTGGATTCTTAGCTTTGCGGTTTGAGCGGAATTGTGGAAAAATTTTATCCCACTGTTTAACTAGGGGGGTTCTGCCGGTTTTAATGCAACATGTTCTTCTTTTAATGGTACAAATATATATATTTCTATCAAATAACAGGGATCGATATGCAAGAACTTGAGAGGTGGCCTATTTTCAGTCTTCTGAATGAAGAGTTTTTAGTAGCTATAAGAATAGCGTGTGTTTTTGGAAGCGCAGGAAATGAAGCAATTGTTGTCACCAAAGACGATGATGTGTTCGCGCTAGGATCAAATGGAAGCAGTTGTCTTGGAGTCGGAGATGCTCAGAGTTGTCTTCATCCCAGGAAAGTGGATGCATTGTGTAAAAAGAATGTGGTGTCCTTAGCGTATGGCAGTGGTCCGCACGTCCTTGCAGTGACAGGTAGCTAACACAAAGTACAAATTAG